GTACCAAAAGTCTCGTTATCAACCGATCTTCTTCAAAATTTGCATGCAAACGCATGTGAGGAGAGAAGCGGGTCATATACAGCGACAAAGTCTTTAAAAGATTCAACACTTTGCGCCGTGGTGCAGTGGGAAATCTAACGACAGCCGGGGTTTATTCCACCGATGGTGGAATAAACCCCGGCTACATCGTCGTTAGATTTCGGCCGTTTCTCGTTTCCCTCGGATGCCACCCTGCTGAGACGCACATATGCACGAATATGGTTTTACACCGAGCCACGGTTCTGACATTGTCTTCGCATCTTAAAATGAATTAAAAATTTTAAAGAAATCTTCGGCTATGCGCATTTACGCGCAAAATTTGAAAAGGATCGGTCCATAATGACACTTGTGGTAGACCTGAATGCATTAAAACTTGTTGGAATTTTTTTACCTTATAACTCCGCAACCGGATGTTGCGCGCGAAAACGATTTCACGCCGATGTACACAAATCATTCGGCTACACAGTGTCAAAAGGTAACCCATAAAAGTGTTCGGAAGTGCACGAAAGCAAATACTCCGTCAATGTACACGAATTTAAGGTTAGTACTATGTACCGGGTTAAATCCCAAATCCCAATTGCAGTTCTCGCCTAATGACTGCCAATATTAATGACTGCCAAGCAGTCGCTTAAATGTGCAGCTGTCAGCTTGCTGTCCTTTAAATCAGCCCCAAACACGCAATTCCGCCTTTCTGGAACATAATTTTTCACAGAAAAAAAATTTAAAGTACTCGCAAGTCTGTAAATTTTTTACTTCAACAGCAAATCAGTACCAATGGCAACCACCCGTGGAAGCGTGGCAACTTTAAGCGCGTCAAACCACTGCGAATGACAGCTCCTTGGGAAACCGTTTCGAGCAGTTTTCATGCTTGAAGACCTTCCTATGGCTTCTTGCTCAAATCATTTTTTCTTGATGCCAAATACGGATTAAACAATTTATAAATTCGTTCAAGACCACGGAATAACACGTGGTCGGGATTGCAGAATAACAAAGTTTTCCCGGCTGTAACTTGTAAATTGGTCAATTCGTTGTGGCTGTCTAGACAGTGGTGGGGTGGTCGGTTTTGCAGTGGTGGATTCTTAGCTGTTCCCATAGGCTTTCTATGTTAACGTTTTTCGAAGCTTTCTTTCAAACGTTTGTTTTTTTCTCAAATTTGACTTTTGCTGGCAAATTTGTATGTTAAGGGCTGTCGAACGACTTATACACATTGGAGTTTGGTTGAGTGCCGCTTTAATGCATCGATGACACACACGGAATTTTGTTAAGGCTTATCCTTTTATTTATATAGATTGTGCGGTGTGCGTGTACGGTCACTACGGTGTGTGTGCGGTGTACGTTAACACTTAAACCCTGTTGCCGAGTTTCGTTGAAGAATCTGACTCTGGCGCTCATTTTTTTGTACCGAACAAAGCCAGCACTTCATGAAATATGGACTCTTTTAAATAGGAATAGGAATTGGAAATCATAAAATCATAGTGACGCGCTACGTAGAAACAGATTCGTTTCAGTCCGTATATGCGTTTCCGGTATTCGAGTAAACTACTACGATGCCATTTTCGGTAAGTAGTACATTAAGTATCTTAATTTGTTGTTCCACCTCTTTTCCTTACTTATTATTGACATATGGCAGTTTTTTACGTTATAGCTTCTAATAACCCTGAACACACTACCCTTTGTACTTTTAATATGCGTATTACAGCCTTAATAAAAAATCTGGTGGTTCACGGACTAATCTGAAAGGTCCTACAACCAACAGGTTTTGAACAGATTTTCTTGCAAATTTAGGCAGGGAGCGTGATAATACTTGTACACTATACCGGCAAGCGTCAAGTTTACTCGTGTAAGGGTGCGAGATGGTCAACGAGTGTGCGATGGTCAACGAGTGTCTGAATGGCTACCGTTAACATCTGGTGTACCACAAGGGACTGTGCTGGGACCGATTCTTTTCACCATATACAATAATGACGTGCTGATGTTGGGAGCAGGCGATTGCGATGTCGACTGCTTTGCAGATGATACGATCGCTCATGCGCCTGGACGAACGAAAAGCATTGCGGCCGCGAAACTGAACAGTGGACTAGTGCGCGTCGGCCGAGCACTGGAAGAAAATTTATTGCAAATAAACCCAAAGAAATGCCAAACGATGTATTTATGTTCTGACCGAAATACAGAACCGAATCCGGAAGTCGTCATTAATGGGTCGGTAATTAACATTGCGTAATGTGTACGGTATCTTGGTGTTGAAATCGATAATCACCTGAAGTGGAATGAGCAGTTTAGAAAGGTACAACGGAAAGGGAATTTTGGCATTGCCATGATTAAACGGGCACAACAAGGCCTCAGCATGTCACAGCGCAAAGGTCTTTATCACGCCTGCTTCGGCTGCCATATCGCACACCAGTCGCCGGTATGGTCTGCAGCGTCTTCGACTGAGCGCGACAAGCTAGTCGGACTACAACGTAAAGCTCTGAAAACCATCACTGATTACAAGATGCCGGTTACTCCGGAACTGTATAGAAGTTGTGTATCCCTCACATATTCGACCGATGGCGTCAGAGCGATGCGGCGTGGTTGTTCAAGTTCTGGAATAAAGAACAGTTCCGCTTCCGGCCTACCTCCTGGACATGATCCAAGTAAAGATAATACCACGCTACAACTTGCGGAAGCCGGCGGATCGATGTTACGCGGGCAAAGAAAGTTATCGGATGGTGGACTATGGAAATGCGCCTAAAGCGTCTTCTTGATAAAATTCTTGCTGTTAATCCTAAAATTCTCGAAGCCAGTTCTGTACCTTCTTTCAAATTTCTACTCAGATCTGTTAATCTCTCCTAAATGTTTTTTTAGCAGAAAATTGTTTTGTTCGACCAGACGTGAAGTCCCTTCGGGGTTGTCTGCTTTTGTGCCGTAATAATAATAATAATAATAATACTCCAAAGACTACACTACTTAGTATCGGCGTCATTGTTTGCTGTATGCATAATTTTGAGTTATAGTAGCTGGAGTGGCAACGATTTTAGTCACAGGGCTGCATAACACTAGTAATACGCGGTATTTTCATTTACCATGAGTGCGTTATGCACGGTCCCAACTCATGCTAGTTGAAGCATATTCTTCATTTCGTTGTATTATTTTTAAGAAAAACTGGATTGTATATATTGCGAAATAAAGCCTCTAACATTAACTGGGATGATGTAAGAGTAATTAAGAACCAGCTATTATAATTACGAGTAGTTTTGCACTACTCACAAGTCACAAGCATTCATGCTGGTATGTACCTGGCGCACAGTATTGATTCTAAATGCCTTTACATATTAACGTGGAAAAATAGCAGAAACACATAAATACGTCAGATGTACGAAGAATATAACATGCGCACCATAAACGTTAAAACAAAAACGTTCAAGCGTTCTGAGATAAGGAGCGAGTGTCGGATGTTTTGATTCTACGAACTTTCGTAGTCTGAGAGCATTGTTATCGAATACCAATCTGCTTTACAAGCTCACCGTGGCAGGTTACACTGCGTTCTTCCAAGCCATGTAACAGCTTTGGTGATGTATACTAGGTCTTTATTTGGCATCCGCCAGCATGCATAATAATAGCCTGCGCAGGTTTACACTTAACCAAAAACAACCATACAACACATGCGCAATCAACCACAAACAGTTCATTTAGCTTTTGAGACTTTCGGTGTCACTTTCTGAAGTTTGTACGCGAACTGGGCTTGCGGTGATTGAAAATTGTGATTAAAACCATATACAGACTTGCTTATTTGTAACTTGCGCTGCCTTTGATCTTCGGAATCCGAATGTGACTACCATGGCTAAATCAGCCATAGCTAAACCCGAGGAACTTGAACTGACTGGATTTCAGGTTGAGTCGTTCCTCAGCCTCTTTCCAGATGGCACTCCAGCAAACCAGTGGTAATTCGCCAAGTTAATCCCATTGCTGCGAAAGCTTGTGCCAGCTATTCGAAGAGATTTGGTCGACGTATGCCAGCACTCCGCTGGCGCGGACCTTATCGAAACCGAGGTTCCTCCTATGATTACAAAGATCGTAAGTGAGCATGTCCCTGCTATCCTTGCCGAAATTGTAGACGAAAATCATCGCCTGAAATCCCAGCTCACCGTCATGGAAGCCCAAATCAAAGAGCTGCAGGAAAACCAGAAAAAGTCCGATGAGTTTGCCTGTTTGCTGAGCGCCCTGAGTAACAAAGTCAACCTGCAAACGGATACCCAAGGCCCAAGCAACATCCGCCTGGCAAATCGTCTTCGCGATGGGACGTTTGGTGCCATTTGGGAAACGGTGACAAAGTACCGCCCCGACACCATACTGAGACGCGTCCGCCGCCAACACCAGCGGCTTGTCGGGATCGAAAAGCACAAGGAATGTGGCGCGAGCGATTTCCTCCTAAAGTCCATTGAAGTTTGTTTCGGACGCCTTCGACCATTCCCTCGTAGCTCCTGCTTTCAAGAGATTGTGGAATTCATTGCATTTTGCAGACAGGTCTGGCAGAAATTTACCGTAGTGGTTCACAAGTCCAAGAAACGCTCGGAGCTCACTCACGTTCGTCGGCCTGTTCATGTCCAACAAGGTCTTGACGCGATCGCGTGGAATGTGGCGACCTTGTTTGTCAACGACAGATCCGGGGTATTCTACGGAATCCTGCATGAAGCTACACTTTGCTTGTTTCAGAGTTAGCCAGTGTTCTTCAACCGTTGTAACACTTTCTCGAGGTTACGGAGGTGTTCCTCTTTGCTTTGGCCTGTGGTGAGGATATCATCCAAGTACACGGCCACGCCCTTGCATCCCTGCAGGATCTTCTCCATGATCTGTTGGAAGATGCTCGGGCCGCAGGATACACCGAAAAGTAACCGGTTATAACGGAAGAGGCTTTTGTGCGTATTGATAACGACCAGCTGTTTGCTGTCCTCTTCCAGCTCCACTTGGGCGTATGCTTCCGCTTATTCCACTGTGCTGCACTTTTGCCCTCCATTCAATTTGGCAAAGAGTTCATCTGGAGTAGGAAGCGAGTACTGCCGCATGTCCAAGGAGTCATTCAGACCGCTGCTCAGGTCTGCGCAGGTCCGGATATCACCGGCACGCTTCTGCACCGACACCGTGGGAGCCGCCCAGTCTGCGTGGTCGACCGGGGCCGGAATGCCTCGCTGCACCAACCGGTCGAGATCCTTCTTTACGGCGTCACGAAACGCAAACGGCACCGTCCTTGCTTTGCAGAACACCGGACGGGCGTCAAGCTTCAAATACAACCGAGCCTTGTAATGTTTACAGTGTCCTAACTCGTCTCGGAACACTGCCTTGTGGCGCTCCAGGATTTCCTTAAGCTTCGGATTGCTACTAACTCCACACACGGAAGTGTCTTGCAGGTCGCGCAGACTGAGGTGAATGAGATCTAGAGCGGCAATCCAGTCACGTCCGAGGACATTCCCGCCGCGGCCGACTACCACCAACGGTAGCGCCATTTGTGTAAGGCCGTGCACCACCTCCAGTGTTGCCGTTTCAGTGACACTCAGCGGATGGCCCGTAAAACTTCGCAGTGGATGGGAGTATGCGCTCAGCCTGGGCGCTCCGATACTCCTCCACGTGTCCGCCGTGATGATCGTCACCACAGATCCGGTATCCAGCACAGGTGATACGGCTGTCCCGTTCAGCTTCAGTGGCATGTGGATCGATCCACCAACCATCGCGTGCACTGACAGGACTTCGAACTTCTGCTCAACTGCCGACGTGCTTCGTCCTTCCTGCCCTCGCGACTGGGGCTGCTTCGGGCTGCGGTATACTTTCGCGATGTGACCTCGTTTGTTGCAGTTTCCGCACACGAGATCCTTCGCCCAATATTCTCCTCGCGCATGCGTAGCCGAACCCCATCCGGAGCATTCTGGTGATCCAGCTGCCGCGCTGTGACCAGGCACGTCTCCACGTCCTCTCATTCATTCGCGAGTTCGTTCAGAAAGGTCGACGACATATTCTTTTCCAACACGACTGCCGGAAAAGAACAGTGAATCACTTTCCTGCGGAGGTTGCTCGAGAAGTCCAAAAGAGTTTCTCCTGGCTCTTGGGAGATGCGAAAGTAATTCGCCCACTCCGTTGTGGCATTGGCCGTCTTCGCATACACGGCTTCTAGTTTATCGACGATCTGGGAAGTCGTATACTCGTCCGGATCCTTGGGTGAGCACATGGAGTGCACCATCTCCATTGCTTCAACGCCAAGGGAATCCAGGAGCAGAGCTTTCTGCTCATCACTGTCGGTGACCTTCTTGAGCTTCACATCCTTACGATATCGGAATTGCCATGATTGCCACGTCATGGATGATGGCTCGAATCGCAGGAGGCCCGATACGCTCTCTTCCTTGGGAGGCAAACTGGGGGATGGCTGGTTATTATCCCGTTCAAATTAGTCCGAATGCCCTCCCTCTTTTTGACCCTGGCCGGCGAGGGCCAAATCAAAATAATTCAAATGAGCTGTATATATTGCCAATATGCAGAGTATTGTATCGTACTGTAAGCAGGTATTCCCCTCCAATGATGTCTATCGTATCAGCAAAATCATATCCATATTAATTTTTAACTTGCCCCTCTCACAATTTTTACTTTGGAATAACTGGTTTGATAATATACAACTTTTTTAAAAATTTGTCAGCTTATCGAGCTTTGAAAAACACACAGCGTGCGTGTGGTCTAGCCTACAGAAAGAATAAGTTAGCAGCAAAAAGCGCTCCAGCCACGAAACTGTTTGTTCACTAATTATTATAAAGACAATTCCTACTCCGCCGTTTCTTTTCATTTCTTTAGCCAACATCTCCTCCTAGATCATACGCCACTTCTCCCTATGCCATAGCTTAGAAAATGTGTAAATTCATGTAGTTTGGTTCAAAGGTTTTCGTTTTTTGTAAATTTCATTTTTAAAATTACGAAACTTTTTCGAAACAAATTTTGCTTATTGGCTGTATCAGAAAGTATTAAGGCGAATGGGCGGAAACAATTATTATTACGGAAACCATAACTATGGCAACACACCGTAATACCAACACATTAGGAAAAGTGCGAAAGGTGGAATTCCACATTTACTGAAACAAACTGCAAATTCGACGTGTTAACGTTTTGTTTTTTTATTTTGTAAACGTTGTTTATTTGTTTTTTTTAATTTTGTTTTATTATTTTGCATACATTTTATTTTAATTTCGCTTAATGAATTTAATTATAGTTTCTTATTATTTCTTTCCGGTTCTTTAGATCACCTCCCCAAGACCACTCGCCATTTCTCCATACGCCATAACTTAAAAAACGTGTAAATTCATGTAGTTTGGTTGAAAGGTTTTCGTTTTTCGTACATTTCATTTATAAATGTAATATACGAAACTTTTTCGAAACGGATTTCGCCTATTGGCTGTGTCAGTAAGTATAAATAGCGTATAAGCGGAACAAATACTATTATTGCGAAATGCACGTAGCTACATCGTAACAGTGGATGGGCGGAACCAATTACTATGGGGCAAGAAGTTTTGCTGGTTAGGCAGAAGGTTAGGCATTTTCGCCAGTTCGACATAGAGAAAACAATTTTTGCCGATCTGACCAAGACAGGGGAGTTCGCTGGATAGACAGCGGGGGTAGGACTTTCGCCAGTTAGACAAAGGATGAGGGATTTTCGCCGGTTAAACAGAGAGGAAGAAAATTTCGCCGCTTAGACAGAAGATTAGGAATTTTTGCCGGTAGGATAGAGAGAAAAAATTTTGCCCATCAGACAAGAGGGGAAGAATTTTTGCCGACGAGACAAAGGAATAGGGATTTTCGCCTGTTAGCCAGTGGAAAAGGGAATTTCGCCGCTTAGACAGAAGGTTAGGGATTTTCGCCGGTAAGATTGAGAAAAAAAATGTTTGCCGATCAGACAAAGAGGGAAGAATTTTGCCGGTTAGACAGAAGGTTAAGGATTTTCGCCGGTTAAACAAAGTGGAAGGAATTTTTGCCGATCAGACGAAAGGAGAAGAATTTTCGCCGGTTAAACAAAAGGTTAGGGATTTTCGCCGGTTGAACAGAGCGGAATGAATTTTCGCCAATCAGACGAAAGGAGAAGAATTTTCGCCGGCCACACAGAGGAACAGGGACTTTTGCCGGTCAGACCGTGACGCCGCTTAAACAGAAGGTTATGGATTTTCGCCGGTAGGATAGAGAGAAAAAATTTTGCCGATCAGATAAAGTTGGAAGAATTTTCGCCGGCCAGGCAAAGGGAGATTTTTTTTCCGGCTAAACAGTGAAGAAGGTAATTTCGCCGGTTAGAAAAAGGGTTAAAAATATATAGTACAGATAGTAGGAGTTCATTGTATTACAATAAAAAGTTTCAAAATTCAGTACTTCTATTATAATCATATTACTAAAACCACAAACAGAATTCAATCCCTCTCAAGTCTCAATTCATCTTTCATTCGGCGGATCGTTGTTCTGGCAACTAAGACTTCAGTGCTATTTTACTCATTGTTTATAAGCAATCCAGATTGTAGTTTTGCTGAGTCGTTTAAAGCAAAATCCCATTCTGAGTTTCTAAAATTCGACGTTTGCAAACCGAGGCCGGAGGCCGAGGGTTGCCTTGTATATACAAAGCTACTTCGCCGTTTTTTTATCCAACATCTCCTCCTACATCGTTCGACGGTAATTTTCGCACGATAGCTTAATAAACGCCTAAAATCATGTAGTTTGTCTCAACGCCTTTCGTTTTTCGATCTTTTCGTTGTCCTAATTACGAAAGAGGAACAAAACGAATTTCGCTGATTGGCTGATCATTACAAATTAACATAGGATTTGCGGAGATGCGGAAGTTATCAAACCAAAACCGCTGACTAATAACACACAAGTAGTACAATACTTTATGTGCCATATGTACTGTACCAGTATGCGCATAATACCGCGCGGCTGAATCGTAAAATATTTTGGAAATGTAAAAAGTGCGGAAAGGTGTAATTTAACAGGGAACGTCTGATACAACTGCGAAGCAAAATTTTGTACAATACTTTAAATAATCATGTAGTTTGTCTCAAAGGTTCGTTTTTCAGTTTTTTTCTTCTCCGCGTTACGATACGGGTTCGAAACGAATTTTTGATGTCATTGGCGGAAAGAATAAAAGTATAACTGTACCTTAACGGGCAAGGTACATACAAAAATTAACATAAGTATGTATTATTCAAAAGAAGGAAATTTGATGAGCACAATAAACGTTCCTGAAATCCACAAATTCCCGACTGGAAGATATAATTTCCGATAGTGTTCTTGCCGGTGAGACAGAGGGTAAGGGATTTTCGCTATCAGATAGAAGTACAGGGATTTTTTTCGGTCAGATAGAAGTACAAGGATTTTCGCCGGTGCGATAGAACTACAGGGATTTTCGCAGGCCAGATAGAAGTACAGGAATTTTCGCCGGTGAGATAGAAGTACAGGGATTTTCGCCGGTCTGATGGAAGTACAGGAATTTTCGCCGGTCAGATAGAAGTGCAGAAATGTTTTGCTAATAGATAGACATTTTTTTGCTAATTTGTTATTTGGCTCAACCTTCGGTTTGTAGACGACGGTTTTAGCGATGGCACTTCCATAAACTGAAGTATATGTATACACGTTCCGCTATAATTAACGGAACGTGTATAAATTATAACGGAACGTGTGTAATCCAAAACAAACCGCTTTTCCGATCAGTTAAATTCCGTTTCCTAAATCTTCATAAAACTACCACATTTCTCTCATTAGTTCTAAAAATTCTCGACCGAGGCCCAAGGCCGAGGTTGTTCGTTAATTTGCTTTTGAACACGCCCATTTGACAACTGCCGATGAAAATCATTTTTAATACAGTAACATCAAATACCTACTCAATATTGTAGCATAAAACGACTTTTTTGTAAGGGATAACTTCTAACCGTGCCCTGGTAAAATACCTAAGACAATACAACAGGATACAGTAATGATACGCAACGGTTGCAGTAAGAATACTCGGCGCCGATCGCCTTCTAAATGGTTAATCTTTTATAGTTAAGGTGGGCGTAAGCCACCTGGCCACCGTATGGCGCTCATTTCTTGATTTTGCTGCAGATGAACATTATGCAGCAAAACCAAGAAATGCCAGGAACGGTTCACGGGTGGAAGTATTGATCTTCGCAGTATAGTCTAGTCTTCGCTTCGAACACTTACGGTTCTTTCAACGTATTAACGCTTAACGTACTGAATTAACACAGAAGCAGGTGATATTTGCAGTAGATATTTAGTCGCAGTTGGTATTCTGATATTTATTCTTACTCTGATATTTATTCTATTCTGATATTTATTCTTACTCTAGGAAAGAAATGCCAGGTCTTGGTTTTTTTTTCATCACATACGCCCTTCTGGCGTGCTGGCAGAACTGTGACGACGGCCCGGATTGTGAGCCCTGCCGGATTGCACGGAACAATCTGGCTAAAAATATGACCATTCGATATAATTTGAAAAGGTCTCTCCATGAGCCGGCCGATCGTAACGTGCAGGAATCGAGCGGCTCAACAGTGCCACCACCGCACCAACCCGAGAGTTATGACGATCGAGTGAATCGTACGAGTATGGTCTATGTTAAGAAAAAAGAAAATAAGAGGGAGCAGACCCCGGATCAGTCCACGATCACCGCGTTTACAACTTTCTGGGGGGCGGTATTTCCGATCCTAATAGTGATCGCGATCGGTAAGTAAAATATAGTAAAAGTAAGTGGAAATTTAACATGCAATTAGCGACATACATAATGTGCGCTTTCTTAACAAACGAGATAACAAGTCGGAGATTGCAAGAACAAGAAAGCGAGAAAGAGTGCCATAACAAACGGAAAGTACTCTGTATTTAGAATTTCACAAAAATGTTTTTGTAGGTATTATTGGCCGGATTATTTATCGACGCCGCAAGCGGAGAAACGTTTGCCCTGACGAGCTCGATGCGCAGGCTTCTGATAGGAAAAGGGAACTACAGCAACCGAAACCATAAGCTGGCCAGATTCAGAACCTGTATGTATAGATACCATGTTGATAATAAGAGTGGTCATATTGTTATCACTGAGATGGAACGATGCTGCTGTGGTAGACTTCCCGAATTATGTTGCGCATATATGCGTAAATTTAGTTAGCTGCTGTTCTTGATCTGCCTCAACTTTGCAGTCATGGTGTTAGATGTTCTGTACTGGAGTCCATATAATAATTAATTCCTTTAAAATAACGACGTGTTCTCTACTTCTGCTCGTACCTGCAGATCTCATGGTCAAGGATGCTGAGATGTAGGTCAGTGTTATTTACCATTAAACGTGCAATTAGTGGT